TGTGTGTGTGTGTGTGTGTGTGTGTGTGTCTGTGTGTCTCTGTGTGGGTGTGTGTGTGTGTGTGTGTGTGTGTGAGATCAGGCCGAGATGAGCGAGCCGCTCAACATGAAGGGCTTTGTTGTGGAGGAGCAGGCCGGCGGGACGCTGCACGACGCCATCCTCGTGGAGCGGGTGAGAGACGCATCATTTACCACATTACTTTCATTCGTTTCAATTGTACTTAACATTCCAGAAAATTCAGATTTTTCACATGCTTGTTATTGTTGTGTTATTTATTTAAATATCTGTGTATTATATTTAAATGTCTTTTTTTTTTTTTTTACAGTTTTTGTTTAATTGTTTTTAAGTTCAAGATCCACGTCATATTTTCATATGAACTTTTTAAAATTATTTATTTGTGTGTATATGCATATTTATGTATGTTTTTTTTTGTGTTGAAGTGTGTTTACTGTTCAAGAAAATCCAAATCATATTTATTATTTTATGATTTAAATGTGTATCATATATTTAATCAATCTATTTTAATCTCTTTTTAATTTATCTATTTTGTAAAATGTTTTGTTGAACTTTTGTTAAACAGTTCACGATGTAATATTTTTTATTTGTGTGTGTGTGTATGTATAATATTTTTTACATTTACATTTTTTCGTATTTATTTTTTCACACCCAAACACACAGACACATATATATATATATATATATAAATATATATATATATGTGTATATGAAGAGTTCATTTGCATAAACGGATAACTCTGTTTTTAACAATTTTCAAAAATCACGTTTTTTCATTGTGCATTCCAATTAATCTCAATCAAACTACAGTGAAGTTATTTTGATTAAGTAAAAATAACAAAAAAATACAGCTAACTAACACAATAAAAACATGATTAGGGATTCACGATATTATCGGACTGATATCGGAATCGGCCGATAATGGCTTTAAATATAAATATCGGCATCGGCCCGATATGAAAAATTATGGTGATATGTCTTGCCGATAAGAGGGATACATTAACTCGCATGTGCTCAGGGTGTGCTAGCGATTAGATCAGGTCAGCAGTGTGGCTCATTCTTGAAGCAAGGTTTTGTCTGAATGCTGATTAGATTAACTGCTTTGGATGCTGCATTTAATCTGTGAAAGCACTACAGAATGACAGGTATGGTGTGTGTTAGAGTAAACAGTAATAGCACCTGCAGCGGCAGCCTCCCTAGAGTCCTAATGCCGCTCAGTAACGAGTTTTAATCTGTAGGGGGCGCTGTTGGCCTACTTCTAATAAAATGAAAGTAAAATACCCAAATAACATTTAGACTGTGTTTCTGATTAAATAAAGCAGTAACTGATGTCATAAAATCATGAGTATGTTTTTATTTAAAGGTCAGAAGCTATAGCTTACATGAAAAAAAAATCACAAACATGACACTTAAATAAAATAATTTTATATATACTTATTTACTCATTAATGTGTAATATGTTATATTTTGTAAACAAATTATGAGCTTTCAAAGATTTACAGAATTAAATTTTTTTTTTGCTTTAGACCATCTACAAAATGTTAAATCTTAAAATAAAATGTTAAAATGCATCTTTCTGGAAAAAAAAAAGAGTGATTAATATATGGTTTATTTATAGTCATGTTCAAAGCTTCACGGTACTGTCATTGTACAAGAACTGCGTTACTGTTTATTTAGTTCTAACAAATAAGTTCTTGTTAAAAACTAACCAAAATTAAAAAATATTTTGCTTATAATTTCCGCACAGGAGAGACTCGGTGTTGTTTCCAAACAAAAGGAAATATATCGGTATCGGCCGAAATGAGTTGGAAAATATCGGCATATCGGATATCGGCAAAAATCCAATATCGTGCATCCCTAAACATGATTTTGAAAATGTTAAATAACAGAGTTATCTGTTTTTGCAAATAAACTCTTCATATATATATATATATATGTGTGTGTGTGTGTGTGTGTATATATATATATATATATATATATACACACAGTATATATAGTGAGAGAGAGAGGGATGTTTTTTTGTTGATTTGTGTTTAATGTTGTGTTTAATCACTGGGCAAATTCCAAATGGAAGTGATCATCCCTGTGCCCTACTCCCTTTGAAGGGTTGCATGAAAGCCCTTATGCTAAGAAATCCCTTAGTTATAAGGTTAAGGGAGCCTTTAGTGTAACTTGGGTTGCAAGAAAAAAACCTAAGGGTCAACTTAAGGAACCTTAAGGCTGCCATTAAGTATTCCCCTTAATTATTTAAGTGTTCCCTTAAGTGTTTTTATAAAGTCCTTAGTAACCATTTCACCTTAATAAATTTAAGGGACCAAAAGAGCTCCCTTAAGTCATCTTAAACTCCGTATCTGCAGGATTTTTAAACTCAAATGTAAGTAAGACTTAAGACATTTTTTAAGACCTGCACAAATAAAATATCATATGAGCGCGCAGTAGGGCAATGACTATGGTAACATATTAAACCGTAAAAAGCATGACGTACAGGTTTTCACAAAGCAAAAAGTTTTATATAAATTTGACGAGTTATATCAATTATGATATCAATTTAAACAATTATTATTAATCAATGATTACATTAAATGACAATATGAATATAATTTGTCTTAATTGTTTAGATTTTTATAATGCATTATCTTGACTTGTCGATCCACCTGTTCATGGTGTGTGTGACGTGTGTGTGTGAGTGAGTGTGTGTCTGTTTGTGTGTGTGTGTGAGTGAGTGTGTGTCTGTTTGTGTGTGTGTGTGAGTGAGTGTGTGTCTGTTTGTGTGTGTGTGTGAGTGAGTGTGTGTCTGTTTGTGTGTGTGTGTGAGTGAGTGTGTGTCTGTTTGTGTGTGTGTGTGAGTGAGTGTGTGTCTGTTTGTGTTTGTGTGTGTGTCTGTGTGTGTGTCTGTGTGTGTGTGTGTGTGTGTGTGTCAGCACTCGTCTGAGGTCCGAGGTGGAGACGTGTTCCAGTTCTTCCAGAAGATGCTGAGCAGCTACATCATCCATCATGACAATAAGTGAGTTCATTCCTTCATTCATTGATGATGTCATTGCGTATCCATGTTCGGATGGTGATGATGTCATCGCCTGTGTCCGTGTTCGATGATGTCATGGTCCGTGTCCGTGTTCGATGATGTCATGGTCCGTGTCCGTGTTCGATGATGTCATGGCCTGTGTCCGTGTTCCAGGATGTTCCGTCAGGTGTGTGGAATCCCGCAGGGATCTTCAGTGTCGGCGCTGCTGTGTAACCTGTGTTACGGACACATGGAGAACTCACTGCTGAAGGGCATCGCTAAAGGAGGGTGAGACCATACACACAACACCCTCACAGTCCTGAAAATGGAGTTTAAAAAACCCTCTGCAGTGAATGGGTGCCGTCAGAATGAGAGTCCAAACAGCTGATAAAAACATCACAATAATCCACAAGTAATCCACAGCACTCCAGTCCATCAGTTAACATCCGGAGAAGACAAAAGCTGAAACTAATCCAGCATTAAGACATTTTTAACTCAAATACATAATCCCACTCCAGTCCATCAGTTAACATCTGGAGAAGACAAAAGCTGAAACTAATCCAGCATTAAGACATTTTTAACTCAAATACATAATCCATAATAACTCTTCCTCCAGTGAAAATCAATTGATTTAGATCAGAACTTCAGAGAGGGTTCGCAAATCTTTATACATAAAAAAAACAAACATCAAACCATTAAAGGGGTCATATGATGCTTTTTTAAAGATCATTATTTTGTGTATTTGGTGTAACAGAATATGTTGACATGCTTTAATGTTCAAAAAACACATTATTTTTCAAATACTGTACATTATTGTAGGTCCTCTATGCCCCGCGCTTTGGCACTGAAACACACAGCGTCTCCCTGACATGGTTGCTTCAACACTAACTGCGGTTACTGACACCATGCCTTCTTTCTTTGCGTGCACATTTGCGGCGGGATTATGCAAATATTTCCACATAGTGGGGTAGATATGTGGGGGCGTGTTAGAATGAGCCGTTTTAGGGGGGCGTGGCAGAGTCTTAACTTTGATAAAGAATATCTCTTTGGTTTTGAGACTTTAGTCTTTGCAACTTCAGGGATCTTATCTATGCACAATCAGCTTGTAACACTCCAAAGAGAAAGGAAAACTTGAAATCGCATCATATGACCCCTTTAAGGTAGTACAATTATAAAAACAAAACAAAGAAAAGAAAGTATACACAAATACAAATCCATTAAGAAAATTAACTGGTTTTAAGTGTAGTAACCATGTTTTCTGTATAACCACAGTTTTACTACAAATACCATGGTTAAACTATAGTTAGTGTAGCAAAAGCATGGTTACTTTCTGGTTACCATGGTTTAACTATAGTAACTGCGTTTTTTTTGTGTTTTGTTTTTTAAATGCTTCATTTTCGTAAGGGACGTGTTGCAGGTCAACAAAAATAAAATAAGCAATAATACATTTTCACCTTGAGGGGACACATAGGATGAATATAGAGAGTTTTCACTGTTTTAAGATTAACAGAATTTTGGTTGCCATGTACTCGTCTAGATCAACAAAGAAAAGAGAGATTTAGAGACAGATTTTTGTTTATGTATGTAAAATTTAGCTAGCAGGAAACACAAATTAAGTTCTATTTTCTTATATTCTCTTCGGAGTAGTCAAACAATCCAAAGAAAACATTTTTACAACAGAAAGAAAAGTCACTTACAAAATTAGATATGAACATTAAATGAATCTGACCAAACAAGTGAATGAATCTTCCTCAGAAGAGACAAAAACTGCAGCTCACTTCAATGTCTGCCTGATATTAGAATTACATCCATAAGCTTTTTGTAATTAAGGATAAGGATTGATTTTGTTGTTGTTTTAATTATTTACTATTTCTAACCAATTTTAGAGCTTGGCATAATTAGAAAAGTGTGTTTTCATCATAAAAATATCTGTTGCGTTTTAAGATTGTATTTATCTCCATGTCTTTTCTAGGTCTAGAAATCACACTTTTAAAATCTTGAGGCCCCTTGGAAGTTGCTATTATAGTATGAATGCAGTCTGGACATGGACATATTTTCTAGAGCCCGACGGATATATTGTTTAGCCGATATTATCGGCCGATATGAGCCTGTCGCCGATATATCGGTATCGGCGAATATGCCGCCGATATGCTGCCGATATGAACTTTTTTTTTACAGAACATATAACGCAGATAAAATGCTTGAAATGGTGTAATTACTTAGTTTGTCCAGCAGAGCGCGCTCCATTGTTTGCTACTGGCAACCTGGATGAAACGCTTTAAAGCTTAAGTCTATGGAAAACCATTGAAACTTTGAACGGCCATATCTCTGTAACGGTGCGGCGGATCTGCACCAAATTCGGGGGATCCCTTCAGCTCGAGGAACCCTCTCGAACGAGTGTACGTCTAGAGGCCCACTTTCGAATGAGACCACAGCAGCGTCGATAGCCCTCGGGGGTTCGGGGTGGTTAAATTTGTGGTCCGGCGCCGACCGATCAAGCGATCCCG